CGCATTACTTTCAATCTCTACCTCCTTTTCCTTTTGTTTATCTTTTCCCTTGAGGGCATCGACGTGCTCCCCCGAAACCCTGATGAGTTGTTTTTTGAGCTCAAAGTTATTCTTTGTCAGCTAGTTGTTTTCTTTCTTCATGTCCTTCAGATCTGCCTTGAGATCCCCATAGAAAGGAAAAGAGGTGCCTACATCCTCATCGAGCTTATGAACCAACGTAGACAGGAGATGTGAATTAGAAAGAGTGTCAAGACCGCGTTTATGAAAAAAACTTATCAATGAGGACTAAGGAAGAAGATGTACTTGGGAAAAAGTTTTAGATGTGTATTCAGACCGATTCTAGTGGTTAGATCCCCAACGTTAGTCTTCTCAGAAGATAAAACCCTCATGAGGTAGATAGTGACCTTCGCCCCTTCTCTATTGGTGGTAATAAGGGATTGGGGCACGTCGACCTCAACCTTCTCGATGCGAGCCTACTTCGAGCTCCCACTGGCCGCATTCGTACTCGAACTTTTTCAGTAAAGTGGTCGTCTCAGAAGGAGGAGGAGGTGCATGCCCCTTAGTTTGGGTCGTTTGCTTTATTGGGTCAAGCTTGGCAAGAAGTCCTTCAAGGCGACCCTCACCAGAGGTTGTTTATTGTGTTTTTTTGCATATTTTTAGGTGATTTATTTGTTTTAGTTTAGCGTTTTTAGGTGCGGTTTTGTGTCAACCGGTCCATTTTATCGTGTTTTATGTGTTTTCATTTTCGTTTAGCATTTTTGTATTTTGTCGTGTTTTCTTGTGTATTTTGGTATTGCTTAGGTCCGCATTCTTCGAGTATGGGAAGAGGAGTCACTTTCGAGATATTCCCGAGCCGTCCGAATCATAGCCTAGCCGTGATTGAGCCGTCCGGGTCATTTCCGAGTCAAGATACGCGAGCTCTAGCCTTCCCTCACACTAGCAGCACTCGCAGCCAACTTGATTTCGCAGCCTGCGAGCTGCCGTCCACAAAGCTCTAGCGCTGCACTCGCCGCGAGCCCGTGCTTGCGACCCGCGAAAACGCGCGCACCACAGCAACACTCCTGGCACTCCGCGAACAGCACACTCCAGCACCTCATCCGCGGCACTCGCTGCAAACATGGTTTGGCGCCGCGCGAAACGCGCACCCAGCAGCTCCAAGTGCCACGCTCGCTGCGAACTTCCTTTCGCGACCGGTCCACAGCATCCTAAGCCCCAACTCGCAGCGAAACTCCGTTGGCGACCTGCGAACGCCCGTTTCTGCACTACTCTATGGCCAAACTCGCTGCGAACCCCGTTTCGAGACCTGCGAACTTCAGAATTTCATTAAATGTGTGTGTTTTTAGTGTGTGTTTGTGGTGTAGCTATAAATAGATATTGCGCTTTGTAATTTTTCATAACCCCTCATTTCCCAACTTTTAAGTTGGGAAATCCTCTCTATTTTCTCTCTTCTCTCTCTTTTCCTTTTGTATGTTTTGGTTGGGAGGTCCATGACTCAATTTTTCGGTGAAATTCTGGCAAGTTTATTTTTATTCAAGTTTCGAGTTTTATTCAATATTTTCGTTCAAGCATGCGATAGGAGAGTTGGTACCTAGCTTAGGCCCTTCTACTTTGAGTTTGATTGTCGAATTGTGTGTATGCTCGTTTCTAGGTTTTCGCTTTATTTTTATTGCTTGCTTACGTGTGTTAGGAAGCTATATGTGCTTATCTTGTGTAGAGATCTCGACTTTGCTTAAAGCGTGATGATCCAGTGTAGAAAGCTCGTGTTAGATTACCTAGGATCACTATGCTTGCATATTTTCTCTTTGTTTATTTTCTTTTTCTTGAGTCGTGGAGATTCCGGTAGACCAAAGTTTCGATCTTTCTCTCTATATTTGCAATTTTCATCATTTGTTTTAAATTCTTAGTTTAATTCCATACAAATCCAATCCCTTCAAGCAAGTAGAATGTGTAGAACCTTGTTTTCGGTTATGTGACTTTGACGACTAGGTAGTGAACGAAGCTCCGAACAACCTTCCTTTGAGAACGACCCGAGTCGGGTAGCTCGGTTACCACATGCCTAAAAATACTACAAACAGAGGTCGAGGGAGCTTTCCCCTTACCGTTGGAGGAGAAGGTTGACTTCATGGACTTTAGCGCGTTTTCTGCAAAAAAACAAATAATTGATTCAGGTCAAAAGGAAAATGATATCATACAGTTAAAAAAAAAAGGTTCAAGCTTGTTTCTACCAAATCAGTGATGGGGGTAAGACTCCCCTTAGCAAAAGCCCAATGGGATAGGATCTGCTCGTTGCCAATCATTAAAATGGAATTTATATGAAGTTGATTACGAGAAGTGATCATCAGGTCGAAATCCTGGGGGAGAATTCAAACCAAAAAGGTAGTTCAGTCAGCCACTCAGAAGAAAAAGAAAGAGGATTGGCATGTCGAACATAGAAAAACCCAGTCTTCCAGGCGGTAACATTGGAAGGGTAGTCCTTTATGAAATTAGCTCGGTTGCACATTGTTATATATATAGTTCCCTTATGATGATTAGATCCAAAACAATATCTAAAAAATTGGAGTTTGACATGGCCCAACCTACAGTAAGAACATCCTAATAGAATTGGGAGAAAGCTGGTTGATAGGGAGCTCTTATATGTGGCACATGCAAATAAGATCAAAGCGAGTGGGAAGCCTAAGACCAGAATCGATTTGGTCATAGAAAAATGTGTAACATCCAGTGGGAGGTTGGTCGTAGGTATCAAAAGTTCGGAGTTGATGAAACACCGGTTGGTGGGTAATTCGCTGAAAATCAAAAAATGCTTTAGCCAGTCCTTAGTGACCTGGAGAAAGGTGCTAGGTTTGAGAGCAACAATAACCATATATTGGGCAGTATTAGAAGAGGCATTGGGAAGAGGTCGTGCATGAGGAATCAAGCTAGGTCATGACGCAGGATGGGGAGGAGAGTCGACGTCCTTCTCAAGACGAAGAAGTTGAGAGGACAAAGGAGTAGATCGAGGGAGGATTTATAGAGAAAAAGATGAAGAAAAAGAAGGAGATGAAGAGGTGGGAGAAGAGTAAAGAGAGGTCATGTGCCCATCAACATGGCATCATCGGAGTTGCTGGTCGCGTAAGAATCTAAAAAAAAAAAAGAAAAAAAGAAGAAGAAAATATATATCTAAGGGAGGTGAATTTGAAGAAAATGAATTGAGGAATAGGTATTTGGAGAATGTAGATTTGAATAGAAAGTAAATAGAATATTATTGGCAATAAAGAAAAAATGACTGACTCATCAACATGATTGGAGGCTGAAAGCTGTTTGGTGACAGCAAGAGGGCGCGGTCGTCGAAGGTGCAGTAGAAGCAATGAAAACTGAGATTTTCAAAAAGAGAATATAATAAGAATTATAGTAGAGGTGGAAAAGATAAAAATGAAAGAGGGCTTACTTATAAGAAAAGATGGAAGGAGTGGAAGAGGAAGTTGAGCTCAGCCGTATGATATAGATTAGTATGGACGACCAAGATTGGAGGTTACGAAGAAAAAGAGGTGATCGAGTAGGACCGTAAGGTCAAGGTAGAAAGAGATGGGCAAGATTAAAAGGGCAAGTTAAAAGGACATGTCGATCAGGACCGTTGGATAAAAGTAATATCAGGTGGACATGAATGAAGCAACATTAATTGGTGCATCATTTGAGAATAAAACGGGATTTGAAGTGAACAAGTTGATAGAAAATGACGTCACTTTGACGTAAAGGACGTTATATCAGTTTGACAAAATGTCAGGAATTTGAATTTCAAATTTTGAAATGGCGACCTTGTCCTTAGGTCGAGATCATAGTTGTTTACCAGAGGCAAAAGGAAAATAGTTCAGGTAAAAATATCGCTATTGAATTGAATAAGATCGAAGATGTTTGATTATCCTCTTAGGTCGAGTCATATTTCCTCGACCAGAGTGGGGGAAGGGGGAACAGTTGATATGAGATACCATACCAGCATAGTCAAATCAAGTACGACCTAAGAACGGTTCGACCAGATCTAGTAAACTAGTAGGTTAGTTAGACAACAAAAACGTAAGAGGTCGTGGAAAGAACATGTCGACAGTAACTTTATAGACAAAGTAGCACGACAACAGGTTGAGCTAGGGCTCTCAACTAGCCTGACATAAACTCAACCTAGAGGCTATAGGACGATGTACGACCTAATAGATAAACTTAATCGCTGAAGGTCATATAGATTAAGGAAAATTGAGTTGATAGCACAATTAGGCTACCTAATGAGGTAGACTAATGTGAACACATCACATAATGGATAATAATGGATATAGCTAAAATAAGAAGGACATGTAGATAAGACAACATGTACAAACATAATTGGACAACTTGGGCATTCGGGCAGTACGAACGGTTAGCTCCGGCACTCAGGCAGCCTAGTCGGATAGTCTTGAGCAACAAAGTAACACTTCTATATAAAGGGGTGGGGTATGATCATCTACACTCTACACACTCTGACGTACATACATATATACACATTTGATATTGTTCATCGTCTTCTCCATCACTGTTTCTTGACTTATGCATCGGAGTTTCTACGCCGAAACCACCATCGTTGTTGTTTTGCAGGCCATTCACTGGATTTCTTTACTGTTGTGTTGTAGTTTTTAGGCTACCTTGAGTAGATCTTCTATTGTGGCTAGACGCTTATAATTATGTGTTTGTTTTAATGAGTCTATCGTTTCGGAAAAAAAAAATATGTTCACCAACTTATATAGGAGATTAACATCCATATATGATGGGCATGTGACGAAATTCTGACACGTGAGTGCTCACGGAAGGTTGGTAGTAATCAATTATGAATATCATATTAAATCATTTATTTTTTTTTTAGAACGACAATTATTAGTAAACGAGTATTTACGTCAAGAGTCGAGACAATTTAGATTGGGGTTGGCATATTTATTGAAGCCCACATTTCATGGGAGCTAGTCTTAACGAATTGTAAATCACTCTAGCCCAAAATAAATCTATCAAAATTTGGCCCATAACTTGAAACGATCAAACGGGCGATCGCTTTCGTTTTTATCATTTTCTTCGCCGTCTCTCTAAAGAAGAAGAATCTTCGTACAAAATCACAAATTGAACCTGCAAAAATCAGAAAATATCTCAGGTACAAATTACTGATGCTATCTTTCTATAGGTCGCAAAAGCTTTGATTTTGGTGTAAAAATTATCTTGTTTGGTGTATTTTATATTCTCCAGCTTGCTAATTCTCTTTGTCTTTCATGGATAAATTTTTCTCTAAACTCGTCTTAGATTGCAAATTTTACAGCTGAGGAAGCTTTTTCTTACCGTTGCAAATCTTTGAGTAGCGAAATTTGCTTGGTTTTCAATTTTGCTGTGCTGGGCCATTGAGAATTGGGAAGGTCTAGTTGCCCTAATATTATTTATTGATAAAAATTGTTGTTCTAAATATGCTATAGCAGTGTATATGGGCAATGTTAGCTTGGAAAATAGAACTAAGAGAACTGAACATTAATGTCTCCCTCAGGTTTAAGGTCATTCTTTAGCATCTAAATGGTGACAAGTGGGCTGTTTCATAGTTTACACGAAATGTTGGTAAAATCTGATATGCTTGCTGGAAGTATTGTCTCACTAATTTCATAAAAATGCGTGATTCTGATTTCGAGAATGGATTTCGAGACGTTAACGAAAGTAGATTTAAACAATTCCAAAAGAACGTTCGGTTTTAAAATTTACAATTTAAATATCTGAACTCTGGAACTAATAAATAATTTGCTCATGAAGAGAAACTTGTTCTATGGTTCAATGCAAAGATTGGGTTATGTTTTGACCAGAATTGGTTAGAAATTGGTGGGGAAAGATGATGAGAACTGAACAAATTTTTGGCATTGGCCTCATTGAGGGTATGTCAGGTCATTCTTCTTATAATTTTGTACAGCTTCTTTTGGCTATATGCATCGTACTTTGATAAATCGATTTAGTCTGCTTATATTTTTTTTTTTTTGCGTATCTTAATTTTCAGTTTCAATAAGTCCACATCGAAGTTTATGAATGATATTGGAGTATCTTAGTTTTTCAGGCACCATCCATCATTCTGTCTGAAGCTATTTCAAGTTAGATTTAAAAGCACAAACATTTTTCTCAACAAGCTTTTTACACGATTCTCGTGCATGCCCATGTCATATGCTGCAATTTAATACACAACAGTAAAAAATGCTTCTATTTATTTGTACAGTAAAATATACAGCCATATTTTTTTTTTCTTTTATTAACTGACTGTAAATAAAATTAAGGAGCTTTTTTACATGGCCGGGAGAAATCATCGGATGCCCCGCCACCCGGACACTTTCCGGGAGGATTTCCACGCGGGCCCGCGCCATGGGCCCGTTCTCCGGGCCCACCCAGCGGCCCTGGAAGAAGAACTCGAGCTCCAGTACCGAGATATCCAGCGACTGTTAGCAGAAAACCGACGTGTAGTGGACGAGAACGTGATGCTGCAGAGAGACCTGACAGCTGTGAAGGATGAGATCCACCGTTTGGGCCGGGCCGTGATGCCCAAGCTACGGGCCGAGATGGAGGCCCAAAAGAGGGAGCTGGTGGAGCGTGGGCTGAAGGTTGAGGCCGAGGTTCGGGCCTCTGAGCCCCTGAGGGCTGAGGTGGCCCAGATGAGGGCTGAGGTCCAGAAGCTTGGGTTGGAAAGGCAAGAGCTGGGGTCGAAGGTGCAGGGTTTGAGCAAGGATGTGAGCAGGCTGAAGGCAGAGAATAAACAGGTTGATTCTATGAAGGCTGATGTGGATAAGGTTCGTAGCGAAATCTTGGATGCTAGGTATGTTTTTTTTTTTTAATCTTTTTGATTAATTATGTAATCATCGTTATTATTACTATTAGCATTTTAATGGATGATAGCAGCGTGCGTTTCTTTGTGGTGAGGGACAAGAGAAAAGTAGTTTAGGGCTTAGGGTATTAGGGTTAGGCTGTGTTTGGTAAGCATAGTATAAGTTAGCTTATGGATTATTTGATTAGTTTATGAGATTTCTGTACTCAAATAAGCTTGATTTGGTTTGGTAGGACGAACTTTTTTTAAAAAAGCTCGAGCTTATCTCATATAAGCTTCCTTGGATAGATTTTCAAATAAGTCCATTAAATTTTTATTTCAGCTAGTTTATTAGTTGATTTTATCAAACACTTTTTATCATATAAGCTAGTTTTTTAGTCATAATCATAAATTACGAGCTATAAACTCAAAATTCACTTAAAAGCTATAAGCTAGCTTATCAGTTTACCAAACGCTTTCGTATGCGATGGCATTTGCAAAATATGAGTTGTTGGAGTTTGTTTTCTTTGTATATGTCAAATGGAAGCAGAATCAGAAATCTAAGACACCAAATCCTTCGACTTTGAGATTGTTATTAGATTATGCGAAAGCACATGTCAGCATTTGAATTTTGGAAAGGCTAAATGTTATCTTTTTGTTAAGTAAAAGCTAACAATCATTTTTAGGTTCTTTTAATTTTTATTTCAAGGAAAAAATAGGTGTATGATTTCAAACACTCACTTATTATCCTTGTATATTTTGGAATCCATTGACTGTGGGGCAACTTTTTATGAAAAAAATGATTCAGATGAGCATACAAATATATTTTGTTCGAGTGAAGTGTTTATCTGTATTATGTTAATCTCCTCTTTACTCAGACGAGCATACGAATATGAGAAGAAAAGGAATGAAGAGGTGGTGGAGCAAAATCGGGCCATGGAGAAAAACCTTATCGGGATGGCTCGTGAAATAGAGAAGCTGCGTGCAGAGCAAGCTAATGCTGACAGGAGAGGAAAGGGTACTTTCTTTCCCCATACATACACACAACATATTATTTCTTTGTTAGAAACAATTTCTTGCTTGAGTTTGTTGTGAATGTATTTTTTACATGGGCTGAAGGATATGGGCTGGTAAACGGAAGCCCAGACACGAAATATCCAGGTGTGTATGGAGACGTATATGGAGCTGGGTCTTTTGGCCCATACGAAAAGCGTCAAAGGCGTTGAAATCCTCATCAGGCTTTTTCAATTTTCATCATGAGGTTAGCTTATATTCTTGTGTTTTGTGGCAAAAAAAAATTGTTTTCCTCTCTTTAGAAAGGAAATCCTCTTAACGAGACCCCTACAAGTAGTGTATCAAAATGTTTATGCTACATTTTGACAATTTATGTGTTTATGTAGAATAATAATATAATTGGTTTTTATTTCTTAGTTATGTTGGTGCAACTAGTGCACACATGTTTGTGGTTGACGGGTTTGGAGTATAAATAAGTATTAATTATATAATTCCAATATTTTTTTTTAAAAAAAAAAATAATTGTACCTTTTATGTTTACCTTTTTTACATAGTTTATTTTATAGTATATGATATGATGTACACTAGTTTATTATCCAATAGGCTCTATTTGTTCCGAACCTATAAAGAAGACCGAAGTCCTTGTTTTTCAAGGTGATTGGTCTTAAGCTATTTCTTATGAAGTGTCAAGTTTGCTTTTATGATAAAACTAGTACAAAATTTTGGTAAGAAATTTATATTTAAATTTAAAAATAATAAATAAATTATTTTAATTTTCAAATACTTTTTTTGAATAATTATTTTACTATTTAAAATAAAACTTTTCACTTATAGGGCTTACCATCTTAAATTATAATAATTTTTATTTTTTTGAAAAAAGTAATATCATTTGACAAGTTTGTAGCTAAATTGATTTAAATAGTTTTAGTTCTTTATAGTTAATATTAATAAGTAATTTAATTTTTATTATAAAGATAAATATAATTATTTATTTATTTTTTATGTACAATATAGGTATCAAATCGGAGCTCATCAAGTCATAATTAATTTGATATATTATGCATTTGAAATACATAATAAATGAAAAAAATTATTAATTTTTAAATTTACTTATAATTTAAGTTAGTAATTTTTTCATAATTTTAAAAGAAAGATGAGGAAAAAGAAAGATTAAGGAAAAAAATTATGCCATATAAATTAGGTGTAGAGTAGAAAATGTAATATTAGTGCTCTTGAAAAGGTATATCTAGTATATTTATGGTTAGTCTAAACCTAATTATTTTTGGATTGAGAGTAAATTAGAATTTATTCAAGCCAAATGACAAAATATAAAAATTTGTTATATAGAATCTCAAAGCATGCGAGTCTGTAGACTCAACAAATTCAAGAATTATATATAGAGAATGTGCTACGAGCTTATAATCACTCCCAAGATAACTTAATTAGTACTAATTAAGGAAAACTGAAGCAAATGCGATGTCTAACCATTGGACCTTTTATTCACTTTTATCGATCGGTATTCACTTACTAATTTAATTTATTCATTCGATTATTATTGTTTCATTCCTTGTATGGAATATGTATTAGTATTGAACAGTAACTTGACAAAAGAAAGGTGGACAATGTTTAAATGAAGAGATTGTTGATGAAATTATGAGGAAATTATGTAAATGAACACAATTCATTGCGATGCATTAATAAATAAGCCCTTGTACTAATTATGTATCTTACAATTTTGGGCAAACTTCCTCTTCTTCTTCTTCTATTTCTTTTTTTTTTCTTTTTTTTTTTCATGTGTTAACAAGTTTGGCCATGAATTTTTGATTTACTTGATGTGTTTGTTTTGCACTTGTGCTGTATCCGAGTTTGTCTTAAGATTTTAATTATTGCGATCCCCTTCTTTAATATCGTTTATTTTGTCGTTTCTTATACTTATGGGTTTTAATCTTACACAGATTTTTTTTTTTATTTTTTTTTTCTATTTGTTTCAAAATGACTAGGGTAAGTAGACAACTAGACATTGAGAATGGTTTCGAAAAAGAAAAGTTAATACAGAAGTTTGAGAATAGAAAGCATCTTAGCTACTTTCCCAAAGTATAATGCTTTATATTATACGAAAAGCCACTAGTAAGCATAACTTTTTAAGACTCAAGAGCAATGTTCTGAAAATCGGACTGGTCATCGAATCGGTGAAGCTGCTGGTTCAATGGTTCACTGGTCGGACTAGTGGTCGAACCGGAATATATAATTTATTTATTTATTCTATACGTATAATATATAATTATATATAATTTTATCATTTAGTTTAAAACATATAATAACATTTTTCTAAATAAGAGCTAATAAATTAATATTTTAAGTATAGTTTACCATAAGCAATACTAATTTAAGTTCACTAAAACAATAGATTAATAATTCAATATCTAAAGCAAAGCAATCTAAATTACAAATACAAACTACAAAGTTATCAAGTATCAAAATACATCCAATCCAACGAAAAAATAAATAGTTTCAAGTAGTTCAAGTTCAAAGCTATTACAAAACAACACAATTCACCGACTAGAACGAATCGTCATAATTTCCACTAACTCCTCCAAATCCAACATCTACATAACCATAACCAAGGAGATCATCTTCATCTTCCCCATTTCTATCATATCCACCATCACCGGAGTTCAAATTGGATGGATCGGGCATATTTATGTCCATGTTAACTTCATTGCGATCTACGTAAATGAAAAAAAAAAAGGAGCATAGATTAACATGAAGTGCTCAAAATAAATATACCAAGTCGGGAATATAATTTTTTGTAAGCAAACAACTTACCAACAATTGGAATAGCTTGTTCATCATAAATTAAGTTTCCAACTTCATTCTCATCAAATTCGGGTTGTGGATCTTCATCCACCACCCAAAAATCAAGCTTGTCAATGCTTTCATAATCAATTGGATCATAAGATCTTTTCTTTTGGTGCTTCCTATAATATAGAAATTATAATTAATTTAGAGAAGTTCAAAATGTAACAAATGCCAACAAAAGAAACATTTGCACATATTAATTAATAAATAATAATATTAACTTATCTATCTTTCAAACGCAAGTTGTAAGTGATGTAAACATGATCACAAAGCCTTTGATGCTCCAGTCTATTCCTTTTTTTGGGTGTGGATCATATCAAACAAACTCCAGTTTCGTTCACATCCTGATGATGAGGAAGTTTGACTCAAGATGCGGATAGCAATATTTTTTAATATGGGAGCACTCCCGCCAAACAACCTCCACCATTCATCTGCAATAATGAACAAAATTTTATTAAAAATAAATGAATTAGAGAATATGTACGTAAAAAGAATTATACAACTATAAATAATATTTTACCTGGTGTAAGTGATTTTGCAGCCTGTAAACAAGATGGCCTAGCGAAACTATCCTTGCGCTCTCTATATATCTGTATCTCTTTCATTGCTTTAATCGAATCATTACATAGGCTCTTGATGTCGAGTATATCAAGTAATCCATTCAACACTCTATGTTTCTTACTGAAACTTTCATCATAAAAGAAAGCAGGATTGAGAAAATAAGTTGCAGCATGGATACTACGATGCAAGTGTTTATCCCATCGAGCCTTAATAATTTCAGTGTAAGGCTTGTACACACTTTTTCTTTTTCCGAACATCTCTTTGATACTATTCTTTGCCCTTTGCATTCCTTCATACACAAACCCTAAAGACGGTTTTTCGTCCGCAACAAGAATTCGCAACAGTCTAACAAGAGGGCCTGCCAGCTTAACCGCAATTTGGCATTCTCAACAAAATTTAGCATCCAATATGGCTTCACAAAATTTTTTTCCATTAACACTTTTAGCTAATCTATGACCAGTAAAGTGTTTATCAACCATCAAAGCTTGCAAGTCCTCTTTATGATCACAAATGCTTTTTAAAGTAATAAAGACCATAGCAAATCGAGTAACTCCTGGACGTACTATCTCCTTCCAACCAGGCCTTTTCTAAGCCAAGACAAAAATACCATATGATTATAGACAAAGATAGTAATCTTTGAAGCACGAGAAGCAAGTTGGCTTATATGAGGTAATGAAGAGATGTCTTTCAATATCAGATTCAAACAATGTGCTGCACATGGGGACTAAAAAATGTTTTCATACTTATCGTGAATCAACCTTCCAGCTGCTACATAATTTGCTGCATTATCAGTCACTACATGCACAATATTTGCAGGCCCAATCCCATTCAATAACATCAACAAACAAATTGAACAGATTGTTTGCATCTTTCACCATGTCTGAAGCATCAACAGATCTAATGAATGTCATACCTGCGGGACAATATACCAGAAAGTTAATCAAAGTTCTTTGCCTCTGATCACTCCAACCATCTGCCATAAGTGTGCACCTAGAGCTCTTCCAATTGCTTCGATAACTTTCAACGAGAAGCTGACACTCTTTTTTGCAATCTTCCAACAAGTTCACCCTAACATCATTATATGAAGGACCTTTAATCCAGGTCCAATGGCAACAATTGCATCTAAAGCTGGCTGAAAATAACAAGATTGGGTCGCATTAAATGGAATGCAATTGGCATAGAACCATCGAGCAAGAGCCATGTTAGCATTTTTCACCGCCTCTTTGGTCGCAAACACGCTTTTAAGGCCTGGCTGAGATCCTGGAGTTGTCCTCGGCGCAAAATATCTATCGACAGGACCAGTGACGACTTTTCTCTTCCCTTTACTGGTAGCTGGAGTAGTCTCGGGTACTTCTCGCACTTCTTCAGGTGCATTTGCCGTGCTCCCTTCCTCATAATCATCATAATTAGGATCATCTTTTTTTTTGCTTTACTTCATCCAAGTGTGCTGCCATCCGAGATTTAACATCGTGCGTCACTTTCTTACACGGAGCTATTTCTCCCTTCTTCCCAGCTAAATGATGTTTCATTTGATGAATTCCCCCACTTTTGAATTGTTTCTTATAGAACAAACAAGTGTACGTGGACTTCCCATTCACACAAATTAAACTGACAAATTCCCAAGCAGGATCAGATTTTCCACGGCTAGATTGTGTCGATAGCATTTCATTATTTGAACCCTCCATACTTGTGAGCCTGTGACGGAGAGCTGGTCGGTCGGACCACAAAAGCTGCTCGATACACAACATAGAGATGAGTGAACAATCAACATGTGATAAACCAATAAGTATATGTCTTAGTTTAAGAAACCAAAACCAAATAATCAAATAAACATAAGATATGACCTTAGCAAATTCAGTAAAGCAATATATATATATACCGAATTAACCGTGATATCTGAGCCTGAGGTTTATAATTTATACAAGACAAAACAAAAATGTTCACTTTCTCAACTAGACTGAGCAAATCAAACACGAAAATATTTACGTACTCGAATTCCACGACAGTAAAGAGTAAAGACTAAATCATCTCCCGTTTTCTTTTCCATTAATTAGAGCAATAGTTAACAAAAAAATGAAAGAAAACGAAAACAAAGATTGAGG